TCTGGGAGCCTCAGATACAGATACAAAATTCATTACTTTTTTTCTGTGATGGACTGAACCTGTAGTAAGGGCCTTCTACGAAACAAAAAAAAAAATGAAAGAAAGGAAGGATGGAAGGGACCAAGGGAAGGAGGGAAGGACAGAGACAGAGACAGAGAGACAGAGAGACAGAGAGCAGGCAACACGTCTTAGTCAGCAGAGTGTTTTTACCTCCTCCCTGTAGCCTCTCTGCTCCAGGGTGACAGCAACCCTATAACATCCATGTAGCCTCTGAGTCACTCACTTCTAGCCATAAAATGCTCAATGAGAATGAATATTGCTATATAAGGGGAAGAAGGGTTAAAAATGTGTACAGGGCAAAGCCCTTCTGCACTAAGGGCTCAGCCTTCAGCCTTGAATCTGCTGAGCATGCGCCAGCCAAGTAAAACCACTTCCTAGGAGAAAAGCTTCCGTGTCTCATGTCTATGTCTGAGAATCCTACTCCAAACCCTCTGGAATCACGAAACAAACTTGAGAGGTCTTAGTTGCAGGTCCCATATGGATGGGAAGAAATATGGCTAGGTACTAAAGAGTTTATTAGAAAAGTCATTAGTACGTGGACACACAGACAACAGCAAGGCTGCGGACACGCTGAAGAGAGGAATCAGGGCCAATGCGGCAGATTTGAGAATCGCTTATAGCTTCTGGGGATGAGGGGTGGCTTCACAGAAGGACCTTGCAGTCAGGCTCGGATCCCCAGTCAGAGAAAGGGGTGGGAGGCAGAATGTCTGGCCATCAAAAACCCCAGGTGAGAAATCTGGACAGTTGAAAATCTGTTAGCTGGAGACTCCTGGAACGCCCTCAGTGGGTGCCAGTCAGCATCTGAGGAAGGGGAAGGCCGGCTCTGGGTAGCTGCGGCTGACCAGTAGTCTGCTTTTGATTCTAAGATTATATTCTGAAAAAATAAGTACTTCTTCCTTTAAGTTATTTCTGTCAGGTACTTGGTCACAGCAACCTCAAAGTAGTTCATAGAAAGCTCAACCTTCTGTGCCTGTTTCCTCATCTGTTAAACCGAGAACAGAACCGTTTCCTCCTCAACGATGGCTGTGAGGGTGAGGTGAGTTAGCACAGTCGTTAGAGACGGCCGGATGGTCAGCTACTTAAACATTGGTGGTTGTGTGCCGCCATTCTTTGGATAATCCACACACGCTTTCTTAAAAGCTGTTTCTTTGTACTGTGACTTTTTCTCCAAAACCCCAGAGTCAGAGGAAGTGTTGAGAGACCTCGCTGTTCACCAACAATCATGTGCTCCTCTGGTCTTCCAGCAAGAAATAGGAGTCTAGGTTCTGGCACAGAGATGCAGTTCATAAGACAAGACAGTGAGAAAGACAGTGAGCCAAACAATGCTGTGTTTAAGAGACGTGAACAAAAAAGCATTTGATTTGTATGAAGTGGATGTTAACAAGCATGAGTTAAACACACAGAGATAGATAAACCAATCCCATCACTCAAGACGCTAGGACAGGAAGATAGCAAGTTCAAGGACAGCCTGGGCCATATGAAGAAGCCCGGGCCTAACTCAGGACAGAGAGAGAAAGAGAGAGAAGGAAAGAGAGAGAGAGAGAGAGAGAGAGAGAGAGAGAGAGAGAGAGAGAGAGAGAATATGAATGACCTTAAGTTGAGAAAGGAGCTGTGAGCTATGAACTCAAAGGGAAGATTACTGGATGGTGACTGAAGGTGTCAGCTGAACTCCCTAGAGCCTGCATTTTCCCTTAGTTGTGAATGAGTCCAGAGATTCAATAAGAAGACTATAGTATTCTCTGTTCAGTAACACTAGTTCCTCAGTTCCCAGTAAAACACAAACTCTGGAATAAAAGCACTGGCCAAACTTCCATTCAAAACCAGGGAACTTTCTCCAGAAAAATTAAATCATCAACGTGAGAGTCTGGGGAGTAAGACTGAAGAGAGCTCAACATCAGAATATCACCTTACATCTGTTAGGTTGAGCCCACTTATCATAGTTTGAAAATGCATCATATGCAAAAATGTATGCTACCGAATTCCGTGTGCATCAGGGATTGTGCTGTACTGATAAAATTATGAAACTAAGAACAAGTGTATTGTCTCAAGCAGAATCCTTTTAAAAGTCACAACTCCGAATCTACTGTAAGGCTGATTTTGTGATAACGTCTTTAACAGAAAATCAAAACTACTCATGCTGAGTTTGCTAAACAATGTGTGGAGAGCATGAAAGTATGCCCTGAAAATGCATTATTCTATATTTATTTATAAAATTAGTTTGTCATATAGCCAGTCTAAGTGAAGAAACTAGACACTACAGAAAGGGTTTGGAGAGTGGAGGCAGCAATGTTAAATTTAAAACTTTTTTTTTTTTGATGGATGAAAGTGCTGATGCTACAGATACAGTGAACTTGGCATTTTTATTAGCAGTAACGATGACAGGCACAACATCCCTGAAGAAATGGCTTCTCTAGTGTCATCAAAACACACAACTGGGGGCCAGCGAGATGGCTCAGTGGATACACACTCTTGCTGTCAAACCAGACTAATGAGTTTGATCCCCCAAACCACATGGTGAAAAGAGAGATTCAATTCTATTCAGCTGCCTTCTGACCTCCATGCCTGTGTCATGGCTCATGCAAGCACACATAGAAGAAATAGGTGAACTTGAAAGACAAAACAAAGAACTGCATCCTATGAGATGGCTCAGTGGGCTGAGGTATTTACCACCAAGTCTGACAATCTCAGTTCAGTTCCTGGAATTGATATGTTTCCTGCAAAGTCATTCTCTAATCTCTACACAGGTACTGTGGCTAACCCATGCTCACACATGTGCATGTATATCTATACACAAACACACACAAAGATATTCATACAAAGCTTTAAAACAAATGTTCAACTAATTAGTGTCCGTCACTAATCTATCTGGTACAGTAGCTGATCATACTCTCGTGGCGATAATTAATAGAGGCTTATCAAATTAATAGTAGATGCACCAAAAGCTTATGTTTATAAGGTATATCACAGCACATCAAGGTACTTTGTGCACATGATAGCATTAAAATGGTTAACACCGTGCAAATCTCAGACTAAGGGAACTGTCATGCCCTGACACACTTGCTGCACACACTCCCGTGAACAGCAGAACTTGGGTTTTATTGCTGTGAAGAGACAACATGATCAAGGCAACTCTTATAAGGGAAAGGTGTAACTAGGTCTGGCATACAGTGTCAGAGGAAGTTCAGTCCATTATCCTCATGGTGGGAAACATGACATCGTCCAGGCAGACATGGTGCTGGAGAAACTGAGAGTTCTATATCCTGACCCACAGGCAGCAGACGGAGACTGTGTGTCACACTGGGTGTAGCTTGAGCATAGGAGACCTCAAAGGCTGCCCCACAGTGACACACTTCCTCCAACAATAGACCACAACTACTCCAACAAGACCATATGTAATAATAGTGCCACTCCCTATGGTCCAAGAAACATTCGAACATGAGTCTGTGGGGGCCATATATATTCAAATCACCATAGGGTGTCTTGCTTTTCAACTTGATACAAGATTCGAGAACAGATTTGGGGGGAAATATTTTGTTCTGTTTGCACCTCTATTTTCAAGTTAATGTAAATATGTTATCTGCCATTTTTCAAATGGAATGCAAGGAGCTGCAATCTTACACCCAGCTTAAAGAAAGACCAAACCGTGCCTTGGCACTAGGCTTCCTACTTCACTATCATGCCTTATTCACATCCTCCTTCTCAGGCAGCGCCTACGTTCATGAACAACTGTCTTCAATATAAAGGCGCTACGAGTAAATTAGAATCAGAATATTCTATGAGCGCCTCAAGAGGATCACGGCTGCTTCCACTGAACCAGGTTCTGATGCCGCAGTTCCTCAAATATCACGTCAAGAAGCCCATTCAGTTTACGTTGCTCTTTTATTTTTATGATAAAAATCATCACTAAAAATTCAGTGATAACTGGAGAGATGGCTCAGCAGTTGAGTGTGTATACTGTGCTGGGCATTGAGGGTGTATGGTTCTAATCCCAGCAGTCAGGAGGCAGAGGTAGGCAGGTCTCCTGAGTTCAAGGCCAGCCTGGTCAAGAATGAGTTCCAGGACAGCCAGGGCTACACAGAAAAAACCCTGACTCAAAAAGAAAAGGAAAAAAAATGTACATTGTTTCAGAGAACCTGGGTTCTGTTCTCAACACCCAAATTGTGCTGATCACAACAGTTTGTAACTCCAACTCCAAGAGATCCAACACCTCTGGCCTCTACAGGCACCTGCACTCACATGCACACGCACACACACACACACACCACAGACACATATACACACACACCACAGACACCTGTACATGAACTTGCACGTTATTAGAAAATACAAAAAAAAAAAACTTTTTTAAAATTCCGTGAATCCCAGCACTTGGGAGACCAGCCTGCTGGGCTCTGTGAGTTCTAAGTTGGTATGCATTACATAGTGACACCCTGGCTCAACAAAGTAGTAAAAGTTGTGTTACTTAGATATATTTATTTTCTTTATTGTTGATTAAAAATTTGGGACCTGCCCAATAACTGACATCAATGGGAGGAGAGGCCCTTGGTCCTCTGATGCCCCAGTGTAGGGGAATACCAGGACGGGGAAGCAGGAGTGGATGGGTGGGTGGGGGAACACCCTCAAGGAAGCAGGGGGAGGGGATGGGGGTTTTCAGAGGGAAAAATAGGAAAGGGGATAACAGTTACTATAGTCCATTAAAAAAATAAATAAAAGATTCTCCACACATGGAGAACCTTAGAATAAATGAATTTTTAGACCTTGTTCCACGAAAAGAGATTTACAAGATGGATTGGGGAAAGATGGCCCTAGGGAGTGAGCGCAGGTTCAAAAGCTGGGACAAGTGATTCCTGTTCCCAAGACGCACTTTCTGGAGAGCTACAGCTTCCCAAGCCTCTGAGCCTTGTTATCTTGGATCAAAGTAAAAATAACCAAGTTCTTTTTAAAATTCTCCTAGGCGGTAAGCAGAAGTGACTGACGGCGGCTGTGTCTGCTCATTTCCTGTTTCTCATTGCACAGTGAGCTGCTATTTTGAAGGACAGTTCTTGAGCTCAGATCGTATTTTGCTGACAAAATATGGATTGAAAGATGGATTGGCTTTACAGAAAAACATTCGGGTACATTGGTTCATGTTTTATAGAAACTTTTCCCTGCCCATTCCATTCGTTCTTTCAGAGAATCTACATTTTGGCCCCACCAGAAAAGCCAGAAAATTCGCCGGAGCCCAATGCTACCGAAGACGAGGAACAGGGCTGTTCTTGTCTGTCAGCCACCCCAGTGGTAAGTCCCAATATGTGAGTATGTTTACATGTATGTGTGTGTGGAGTGTGTCCTGTTTGGATTTGTATATGTGTTTAGATGTCTGTATATGGTGTGTGTGTGTATGTGTGTTTGTATTTTTTGAGTATATTTACTGTTTATAAATACTTGTGTTTATGTAGATATGCGATTACATGCCTTGTGGTATGTTTATGTTGTGTATGGTGTTTGTATTATATATGTGTATCTAATTTACATATCTATATATGTTGTATGTATATTTGTGTACTGACAGGCATATTTAAGTACATTTCTGTTCATTTGTATGGATGTTCACATGCATGTGTTTGAATGGGGTACACTGTATTTTTATGTGTCATATATGGATGTATACATGAGTTTACATATGTGTATTGTTCTTGTGTATGCGTGTGTTGTATATGTGTATATGTTTTCAGCTTTATAAATGGCATGCATGATGCTTGTATACATTTGTTTTTGTGTATGTGTGTTTAAATGTATGTGTACTGAATTTATGGTAGATATCATGTTTATATTTTTTAACTTAAATTTATTTCATAGAAAACATTTTGATAGTGTTTTTCTTCTTTTTCCTACCTCCTTACCGACCAAATTTCATGTTTTCTCTCTCTTAAAAAATATAAAATAAAAATTTAAAAACCTGAAAAATCAAAATAAACAGACAAACCCAATAAGACCAAAAAAAGTCAAAACAAAATGAAAAAAAAAATCAAAGAGTGAGCAAAAATAATTGTTTAATTGTGAGCCCATACCAGCAATAGATAGCTAGCCCAAAACAAGCTTAACGGCATTTTGGTTTGGAGGTTATGAGATGAAGGTTCTTCATCTCATAACATTTTTGTCAGGGTATTTACGGCTTCCAGTTTTATGATTGTAGGATTCCTGTGCATGTGAAAGTGTTTGTTTGCTATATGTGTTGGTTTGCTTGTCTGTTTTGTCCCATTCTTGTTTGTTTATTTTTCTCTTATTTTATTATTAGTATTAAGAGTACAGATTCTGATGGGCGTAGAGTCAGGAAGGATCTTGAGGGTGTTGGGAGAGAGGAAACCATAGTCAGAATATATCGTATTGAAAGAAATCTATTTTGAATTTAAAAAAAAAATAAGGAGGAAAAAAGCTCATAAAACCACGGTGTTTGCTTTGTGTTACGCATGTATTTCCATGTACGTTACATGTTGTAAATACGTTTGTATATTTATCAGCACATGTGTGTGGCTGTGTAGTGTATACACACTCGTGTACATGTGTGTGGCTGTAGAAAGAACTGTGACGCAGAAGCCCAGAGAGCCTTGTGTTCTCTGGTGACCTTTATGCTTAACGTTTCCTGTTTTCTCTCAGCGATGGGGATGCTGAACCCAGAGTCTTACACACTAGAAAGCATTCTACCTCTGAGCCATGTCCCCACTCCCAGGGGCCAATACTCTCTACACACGTTTGTGAATTTCTCTTCTCGTGACTCCACTCCCCACCCCAGTCCCTCAGTACCCAGCTCTGGACACTGTCTACACAAACACATTTAGTGGTTCATTTCTCTATGACAAATCACCACTTAACATGCACGATGGAGACTACAGCTGGGTTGGGGATACGGTTCCTAAAGCCTCCAGAGAGTGTTTCATACCCCTCTTCTTCCATCCTCGTCAAGCACCCACCCCCAAACATGCGGAATAACGTTACCCTGACAAGAGAAAGGCAAGTGCCCCTTAAAATACAATGAGTAAAAATCTACAGGCTGGAGGGATGGGTTAATGTATAAAAGAACTTGCCAAGAGGACCTAACCTCCTGAGTTTGATTCCTGGCACCCACTGGGAAAGGAGAAAACAGACTCCCAAACGTTGTCTCTAACCTCTGCATGTGCACTGCGGCACATAACTGCCGGCATGAGTACGCTCACACACATACATAAAAAATTAAAGCTATTCACATGTTTTTAAGATGCATTTTTTTTTCTGTAGGTAGAAGAAGAAGAGTGTGAACACAGTCCAGAGAAGAATCCCACAAGACAGTTGCCCCTGGACACTGGACAAGGATTGGTAAAAGGTAGACTACTTTTCTAGCGGATGGGAATACTGGTGTGCAAATGAACATGGGACCACACATTGAGTGCTGGGAGGGGCGGATGAAGGATCTCATTACAGAGATCTACCGACTAGTCTAATTAAAGCCAAAGGGCTCTTCTTCACACCAAGAAGAACCCCTGACAGGTGTGATGGCCCTAGGAGGTAAGAATTGCCAGTCCCAAGGCAGAGTCTTCACACCTAAGCTCCACCTTGAGAAGGGCATGCACATGGTATGCACATGGCATGCACATGGCATGCTCATGGTATACACATGGTATGCACATGGTATGCACATGGCATGCACATGGCATGCACATGACTAGACTCACCTTAACTCACAATTCTGGAAGTCAATAGTCCTTGTGTGGTTTATTAGCTGAATCTGATGTCACACCGATTGCCAGTGTCATGCAAGCAAGCAGAATGTCCTCAGTGACCACTGGGTAGGGCTGGGCTTAGCCTTCGCAGAGACTCACCATTGCCACCTAACTTAGGAAGACAGAATTTAGGGATGCTAGATACATACCCATGTTTTCTTTCTAGAAGAAACTAACTATGATTCATTATATTTTAAGAATGATTTTTCAAGCCGGGCGTTGGTGGCGCACGCCTTTAATCCCAGCACTTGGGAGGCAGAGGCAGGCGGATTTCTGAGTTCGAGGCCAGCCTGGTCTACAGAGTGAGTTCCAGGACAGCCAGGGCTACACAGAGAAACCCTGTCTCGAAAAACCAAAAAAAAAAAAAAAAAAGAATGATTTTTCACCATATTTTTTTCTTTATGAATTTAAGGTGCCTGGGATGTCCGGAGTGGGAGGGAAGCCAGATTATTCTACCACAAGGGACAGTCACCAACACAGGCTAAGCCTTTTTCACTTCTTACAGGAAGCAAAGCTAGTCATTATTTGAAAAACCTCATCTCTGCATCTCATGATGCAGTTAGCTTCTAAGTATCAGCTCCGGCGGCTCAGATAGGAGACACCCTTTGGCCTTGGCTAGGCAGGCAGGAAAAGACATCCAACCATCCACACTTACTTGAAACTCCCATGAACCCACTCAAATTCATTTCTATCCACTTTGGAAAATATCAAGAGAACCATGAAGACTTCATGTCAGCCTAGAGTGAAGCACACAGGAGTAAAACCCTTGGGTGCTAAGAAGGTGTAGAAGGCAGAGCCTAGCAGCACTTGGGAGTGTTGGTGCTCTGTAATCTGAGAGCCATCAGTTTCTCCTGTGGGAGCCACACTTGAAAACTATCATTTGCCACTTCCTGTGCTTTCAGTCTTAGTACCCAGAAGTTCAAGGGAAGGACCTTTCCTTCCTAGCCTCCAGCCCCAGAGGTTTTTTTAAAAAAATATTGCCATTGTGTTACCCAGTGTTTGGTTGGCATATGGGTCTTTCTTCTCAGCTGGTGGCTCTGATGTCCCCTTGGTAAGAATGTCCATGTCCACCTTTCAGGACACAGGCTGAGAACGTAAACCCAGGGCAGACCCCGGGGACAGGTCTCCTCATTCTGGGACAATGCTTCTCAGGTACTCACAGCCATGGCCCCTATCTGTTTATCACAGAGAGGATAGGAAAGATTCTAATCCCATCTCCCTCTGGTGTTTGGTTTTGTAAAATTCTTCCAGGTCTTAAGGAGAAAAGGCTCACCCCAAAGAGACTGCAGCTCCTTCTGGTGGGAAAAACAGGAAGTGGGAAAAGTGCAACAGGAAACAGCATCCTTGGCAGGCAAGTATTTGAGTCCAAAGTCAGTGCTCGACCAGTGACCATGACATTCCAGAAAGGGAGCAGAGAGCTGGACGGGAGAGAACTTGAGGTGATCGACACCCCAGATATTTTGTCACCTCAGAACCAGCCTGAGGCAACAGCTAAGAAGATCTGTGACATCTTGGCCTCACCAGGGCCCCATGTAGTGCTCCTGGTGATTCAGGTGGGCCGGTACACTGCTGAGGATGAGGAAGCTGCCAGATGCCTCCAGGAGATCTTTGGAAACGGGATCTTGGCTTACACTATTCTGGTGTTCACCCGGAATGAAGACCTGGCTGAGGGCTCCTTAGAAGAATATATTCAAGAGAACAGCAATAAGAGCCTGGATGATCTGGATGTTGCATGTGAGAGGCGCCATTGTGGCTTCAACAACAGGGCAAAAGGGGAGGAGCAGGAGGCCCAGTTGCAGAAACTTATGGAGGAAATCGAATTGATCTTGTGGGAAAATGAGGGCCATTGTTACACCATGGAACTTCCAAATGCTCTCAGCAAAACGCTTTAACCAAATAGCAAGGCTCTGAGTAGGCAACCTATAAAGATAACCTTTCTGGCTAGAAAGGCTATCCCAGATTCAGGTAGCCTCTGAGAAGACTCATTGGTGCTGATGCAGAGGCAATCTATCTGAGTCCAAGCTGGCCATAAGCAAGAGTATCTTAGTTAGTGTTCTATTGCTGTGAAGAAACACCATAACCATGGCAACTCTTATAAAAGAAAGCATTTCATTGGGGCTTGCTTTCAGTGTCAGAGGTTTAGCCCGTTATCATCATGGCTGAAAGCATAGCGGGGCAGGCAGGCAGACGTGGTGCTGAAAAAGTAGCTGAAAGTTCTGCCATCTAGATACTCAAGCAGCAGGAAGAGAGAAACTGGGCTTGGAAAGTGCTTTTTGAAACCTTAACACTGTCCCCTACCCTCACACAGTGACACAATTCATCCAACAAGGCCACACCTCCTAATCCTTTCAAATAGTACCACTCCCTGGTGGCCAAGGATTTGAATCTAGAAGCCTACGATGGCCGTACTCATTCAAACCACCACAAGGAGATGTCACCAACATCTGTACCCTATGTCCAGCCCCTGTTGCCTGTTCCCTCTGTCTCCACAGAGAACTTTGCAGTCCTTAGGCCAGCGTGTCCAGTGTGGCAATGGGGTGAGTTTCAGAGGACCTAGCTATATTCTGTGTCCAGCTACATAGCTTCTTTCTGAACACACAGGCCCTCCTTCGCCTTAGTCAGCAGCACAGTGCTCACATAAGTGCTGTCCCACATTTTTATGCCCTGTTTCTATTCGTGGCTACAATCGAAGCTTCTTGACAACAGGCCTAGTTCTTTCTTTTGTGTAAACTGCACAGCTGCCTAGCCAAGGTAGTCAGAGTTGATGCAACCCAGGGGTAGCCATGGACCAGGCAGTTGTACATTTCTTGGGCTTCATCCTTACCCGTAAAGAGGGACTGTGGTTATTAAGATGCCTGCCCTGTGTAGTGGGTAGAACATGACAATGAACCAAAATAGAAAAGCCCAGACCTCCAGTTAGGGTTTTCTTCCACAACGTAAGGTATTGTAATAAGTTGTGTTCTATAACCATGTTCTAACCGCTGATTTACTTCTAAGCCCTTGAGAGACTTCACGGCAATGACCACATGTATACAATGACTAATTCTGAACTGTATATGTCTTTCCTGAGAAGGAGCAGGGTATAGTTCCTCCCCCATCTTTTGTGAGCTAAGTAGAGTTGGATGCGTAGGAGGAGATCACCAAGCACATACAAGCCTTCCAACAGAGCCAACGATGGGCAGGACATGGCAAAGATTCCAAGAAGTCAAATATGAGAGACCCGACCGAGAACCATCACCTCTGTACTGTCTCCACTGTGCGCACCATATGCCCCCAATAAAGCCTTCATGTTCCATTGGTGCCTCTTTATGATTTTTGTCTGATTTGGAAAAAGAACCTTGAACTGATTGGTCACCACAGTGGCTCTGACATGCATGGCAAGACCTATCCTGGGCTATGGAAGGATGTGAATAGGAACCTAGTGAGAAACACAAATAAAAATAAATCAAGCCACTTGATTCTCTTGAAATATAACAAAAAGGACTCATGGGTACTTCCTATGGGTCAGAATGAGTGAGGTTGGGATAAGAACTGAAGAAGCCAGCCTTGGCCTAGAAGGAGAGCCTTACTCAGAGGCTATGGGATGTCGATCTACATATTCCTGATCATGGGCCACAGGTACATCTGCATGGACTTGGATAGAAAAGGTCAGAACTTCCTTCCCCCATGAGTCTGGGATGGGGCAGGTCACCCTTGTTACCTCCCCTTTTTTTTCTTGTGTCCATCACTCAGATTTAGATCTAGCTTTAGAAATATTAGAAAGCAAAGGATCTTTTCATGCTCGTAGGAACCTCTTTTACCTTGATAGGAGTGTAGACGGGCGGGGGGGGGGGGGGGCGGAGGAGCGTGAAGGGAGGGTTTGCATGTGTAAATGAGCTCTGCTAGAAGATCATTTACAAGGGTGAGCAGAGGGGATAGTATCTTTGAAAAACGAAACCCTGCAAAAACAGGCTGGATGCTTAGACGTCATGTGTGGTGGGAACTTGGTTTCTACAAGAACTCTGAAATACAAGGATGTCTGCCAGGAGAGATGTTCCCTACAGATAGGGCATGACCAACAAAAGAAGGAAACAGGATGTTGGCTTGGACCTCTTACAGGAAGCAGTTTAATGAACCTGCCCTGCCTCAAATGCAACTGAGCAGTTGGTCCCCTTCCCATTCTTCCCTCCCTGAGTTCTTCACCCCATCCTCCACACCTCTGACAGAGTGCTCCCTCTCCTGCCCACCCAGCCCCATCTCACACACACAAGCATCCCTCTCCCATGGGGCATCAAGTTTTCACAGGATTAAGCTTATCCTCTCCAACTGAGGTCATACAAGGCAGTGAGTCCTCTGCTACACATGTGCCCTGGGCCAAGAACCAGCCTGTGTAAGCTCCTTGGTTTTTGGATTGGTCTTTTGTAGCTCTGAGGGATCTGGGTTAGTTGACACTGTTGTTCTTCTTACGGGATTGCAATCTCCTTCAGCTCCTCCAGTCCTTCCTATATTTTAAGCAGTTATAATTTGATTTATTAAGATTTCAGGCAAAAATGCTTCATTTTGGTCTTAATTTCTGAGAACATAATTTATTTTAATGGTTTCTTTTGTTTACTTAGACATACAAATGAGGAATTGAGGAGTGTTACAAGAATGTTTCATGTAATTCTTTAACATAATGATCACAGAAACGCTGATATCATGTTGTAATAAAGTAAAAAAGTAATTTCAAACATTAAAAAAAGAGAGAGAGGTCCTGGGAGTGTAACCTCTTTAGCTAATCAGTAGCTAAAAGGGGGAAGGGACAGGCACATCTCCATTACCTCTCTGGCTTCCTTCAGCTATGCAGTGGAGGGTCCCTCCCGTATAGAAGGTTGTGGGGGCTCCCTCATCTATAGAAAGAAGGTTGGGAAGCAGGGTGGTTGGGATTGCATGGGGACTGTCAGGACTCAGAAGATGTGGCCGGAGGTTCTGCTGGATGCTTATCTGCAGATCTGTGTCTAATCTCTTCTGTCTGCCTAGAAAGAGGAACTCCTAACCTCTGCTGCACAGGAAAAAAAATCACTAATCACCTCTTTTGGCCAATGACAGTGATGGCTGTGGTTTGGAAAATTGCTGGGAAGTCCCTGATGAAGGGTGCAGTGCTTCCTTGTATTGTTTTGACTTTCCCCAAACAGGAAACAGGTTGTTTCCTCTCCCCTGGTTCCTAGCAACCAGACAAGACCAATACTTTCATTTCACCTCCTTCTGCCCCAAGGTGACCGCAGCACTGAGAGTTGGGGCACAACTACTCAGGCATCTTGATATCCCTAGACTGAATCAGCTACCCAAAACCATCGTCTTTATCCTAGATAAGCCTTGCATCTTGTAATAACCTTCCAAGGACACGATGGATCTATAGGTAGTGTGGATGCACTCTGTTACTGAGCATAGAGGGAAAGGAGGACTGAGCATAGGGACCGAGCTCTAAAATCTCACTACACAAGAGCTCTCGTTCAGGTAACGACTAGAGCAGGAAACACTGACAGCATGTAAAGCAGACAGTAATGTCTTTCTGTTAATGCTTAAAGTCCTGCTATGCCAATAGTAGCCTTTCTAGGAATAAGGCTTTGAGGAAGCTTGAAGAAGCCACTATCAGTCAGTGGGTACCTGGAAAGAACATAATTTTGTGTGAAATCGTGAAATAATTTCATTTAAACTTGGATGACAGATTTAAACAGAAACTAGGATGGGAATACCATGAGAAAATTGAACGTTTTTCTTCTCTAGGTTTCTTTATTCTTCCTTAGTGCTCATTCATTGCCGTTGCAGAGAGACTACAAGTAAACATTTGGCAGTGACTAAATCAGTGCAGTTTGACCTGCTGTGCAGCTCTATATGGCTGAGGTAGGCATCCTCAGCTCTTCTACACGGTGGCTGTAGGCACTCTCTCAGGGAAGGCTTAGGTAGCCCAGCTGTCCTGCAGTTCTCTGGGTAGGTCCCAAGGACAGATGGACTCTTCTGTGCACACTTCTGCTCCTCTCCAGTGATGCCCCCTTTCTGCAGGATCTGAGAAGTCGACATACAAGTCTCAGCTGAGGTAAATCAACATTGGTTTTTCAGATCAGGAAGTACCCTTTGTTACAATTGGTCTATAATTCCATATGGAATTTGGCATATAGGGATTGCTCCCAATCAGCCTGGGCATACCACACTGACATTGTTTGACTGCATTTTGGAGATAATTCACTACTGTGGCTTAGCAATCCAAGGGGCTGATTTTGATTGACAAAGGGAGGCTCTGAGTCTGTTGGGGGTTAGGATATGCTCCATCAGAGCCATATCTCCCTCCCTTCCTATTCAGCATTCTTTCATAGCAACTTCTAGCCTCAGAATCCTAGTAGAAAGAGGAAGGGGGCACAGATATGCAAGGGAACTGGGCCTTTTATTACCAAGGCAAAGGAAGTGCAGAAACCCACAATACTTCTGCTTATGCTCTTGGTCACAAGGCTGCTACTAGCCACAGGAAACCCTGTGGAATGCAACCCTTATGGACACTTTGCTTTCTAGGAAATGGTGTAGCTCTGTTCATAAGGAAGGATCAGATGGTAGTACAGACAGAAGGCAGTTAGTCCATTCAATTCCTATCAAGTGACTCAGCTTTTCCCTCCTCACTCTGAAGCCACCTCAGTCTCCATCCCCTGACCTCATACTACCAACCCACTGTCCAAGCTGAGGTCTTGTTAATTCTACATAGGAGCCAAAAGATGGGTCAAGAAATAAATCCTCAGAGTATGACTCTGGTTTTAAATTACACAAGAGCTTGTACCTGGCTAAACTCCCACAGGGATACTCTGGAGAGAAAGAAATCAAGCAAAGCACCTAGGCTCAAGGGAGGAGCCAAGCCGAACTCCCCCATGAGCTTTTCATTTCCTGAAGCAACACCTGGTGAGATGAAATTCGAGGCACGTGTTTATTTAATTTCTTCCTTTGCTTTAGCCTTTGGGTCTTTTTCTTGGGTTGCTCCCACACTAGCCACCTACAGTTCCACTGTACGAGACTCCTGAGCAAGGGAAGTTGGTGGGGTTAGTGGATGCTAGGTTTCAAGACTGGGACAAACGGCTGAGGTCACTGTTTAACACTGGCTGCCAGGTTCTCCCAGCATCCTTTAGTCCCTATTTGTTACAGGGCTCTCACACTGGCATACCCTGAACTCTGCAACCCCAGAGCTAGACTTCTCTTTCCTACATAACCCAATCATTTTGTTTACTCACTCTTTTTGTACCTTTGGCTGCTGCATCTGGTTTCCTTCTAGCCCCTACCCCCTTTTCACATGACCCAGGTCAGTCTGGTCATGCACACTCTGACTTTCTCAGATGTCTGACTATGCTCTCCCACATATCTATAATAAACCTTCTCCTTCATCTCTACTCAGCATTTGGACAAATAGAATTCTGAGGTTACATACTACACCTCTGTGTTGTGAAGAATTGGCATAACAGAAGGATTTAGGGCCTTCCTCTTAGCCAGTCCCAAAAACAAAACAAACAAACAAAAACAAAACACAAATAACAACAAAAAGTAGAGAGGTTCTGTGGGTAAAGACGCCTCTATGAAGCCTGAGAACTTGAGGTTGGGCCCTGGGGCCACACGGTACAAGAAGAGAACCAACTTCGACAAGTTGTCCTCTGATCTTTATATACACATTCGCCATGTGCATATACACACATGAATAAATGTAATAAAAACTAAGGTTGAGATTGATGGAAGAAGATTCTCTGGCTTCCATGAGCACATGTATACACATGCAAATGTACCAACCCACAAACATGCAAAATACGTGCAATGGAAGAGGCTCCAAAGTAGAACTATGTGATCCTGTTTTACTCCTCCTGGGTATGTGTTCCAAAGAATCAACCCAAGCATAAAATACAGATAAATATACAACCACCATTATTATCACACTACTCAGTCTAGGCGCCAATAAAAAAATGAATGGATGAAGAAAATATGAGATATACACATATGGCTATTGAAGAAAGGATGCTATTTGCAATATTTGGATATTTGGATATATTTGTTTGCAATAAATGGATAGAGTTAGAGATTATTATGCTAAATAAAATAAGCTAGACTTCGAAACACAAACATCATGCTTTTTTGTCATATGTAAAATCTAGATTTTTTTAAGGCATTAAAAAATCAGGGGGAACGATTTAGAAGAATGAAGGGGATTTGCAGAAGTGGGAAGAGGTAACTGAGGAAAAGGGGGCTAGAGAGACGACTTAGCGCTTAAGAATATTTGCTGCTTGCCATGGATATACAATAAAATAATAATTAAACTAACAAAACAAGGAATGCTTGGTGATATTACAGAGGACCCAAGTTCAGTTCCCACACCCATGTTGGTGGTTTGTAACTGTCTGTAATCCAGATCCAGGGGATTAATGCTTGCTTTCTGTCTTCTGTCTTTTTCGGGTTCCTACACACAAGTGGTCTATGTTAAGACAGTGAAGATCAGACTCCTTTGTTGTAAATGTCACTTTTATTTACCTGACTAAAAGTCACTTTAACTCACCTGACATAATTGTTGTCTTGGGGCTTGCAGCTGAATAAACTCACCCTTTCTACTTCTTTCTAAATTCTGGCTGGCTGATCTAACTCAGCTGTTCTAGCTTAAATTCCTCTCCAAGCTGACCGATTCAAACTGGCTTCTCTCGGCTCTTCACTGAATTGCTGTGCTTGACCTCACTAACTCTAGCAATCTGTTCTAATCTTTTGGTTCCTCTCATTCTCTGGCTCATTCTCTCTTTACCTGTGTCTAGCTTGTTCTCTCTGCAATGTATCTCTGTAAAACTGTTCAAGTAAAACTGCCCCTCTCTCTTTCTCTCTCTCCACACTGCTCTTTTTCTCTTGTCCTTGTGAGAGTTGGGAATAATCCTATCTCTGACTTATTCTGTCAAATCTTTCTCAGACTCACCACTTTGTCTGCCCCTCAATTAGACCTCACTTCCTATCGTGGAAGCTTCCTTCTACAAACTAAGTCTACCTACATTGGGATTAAAGTGTGTAGTAACTGCATGTCTGTATTCCAGCCAGAGTAGCCATGTTGCTGGATTAAAATTCCTTTACAGTTTGTATTCTTGATTAATGATTGATATGGGAGGGTCCAGCCTACACTAGGAGGTGCCATCCTTGGATAAGTGACCTGGGTGTATTAAAAATGTTAAGCAAGATGCCAGCTGAAAGAGAGAGATACCAAAGTGCCCTATGGTAAGAGAATATGTGATGGAGAGAGAGATGGATGAGAAAGCAAGCTCAGCATCTAGTGCACTGTGGAGAGAGGTGGAACTGGAGACATCACACAGTGAAGAACAGTCAGCTATGAGGAGCCTGTGTAACCACCTGGAGCCACAGTGATGTACTGCCCTGGGCTGCCACCAAGGGCCATGTCTGAATCAGAAGCCTTACTGCAGCTGGAGTCTGTGCTGATGGCTGTGGCCTGTGTTGCCATCAAATGCCATCTGGATGTCAGTAGTCTGGGGTGCTGCCTAAGCCCATGTTGATATTTGATAGCCTTACTGACACCAGAGGCAAAACTGATCTGAATGGCCTTTGCTGCCACCTGAGGCCATGATGACATCCAGCCCCAAGCTGCCACCAGGAGCTATGTCTGAGTCTGTGGTTCTATTGCAGCCAGGGTCTGTGTTGATGTCCCAGGTTCATGCTACCACCAAAGGCTATACAGATGTGTCTGGTCTGGGCTGCTACCTGAGCTCATGTTGACATCCAGCACTGTGGAGAGCTGGCTCCACCCCTTGCTTGCAGCAGGAGAGCCAGGCCTGCTCCTTGCTGGGCAGCATGGGAGAATTGGCTCTGGTGGCACTCGTGTGGAAGAGCTGCCCCCCAACCTTCATCTATCATGTGGTGGTGTGGGGAGAAATGGACCACATCTCACCTCCCACCCCCACCTCCACCCCCACTACCCACACATATGGGTGACATGGCCTTGCTGGTACTCACACCGGAAAACTGGTAGACTGACCAACTCAGCTACCACCCAGGGCCCAGATCCAGAGATTTGAGTTGGCTCACCCCAACATCCCCTGCATCTATGAACTGCTGGAGTGCATGAAAGGTCTAGTCCTGTAGATTAAAAGCTGCATGACTTCTATGACACAGGGCAACAACAAGATATTCAAGAGGAGTCCCACGAGGATCCAGTATAGAAAGTGTACCAGAAGCCAGAGGCCTCAAACCAGACCTGTGACTCATTACAATGAGCATTTGCAAGTACAGCTGTTTGGGCAAAAGGGCACACTGTGTGACACACTGCAGCTTCCACATTTAGATTTTTTTTATCTTATTTTGTTTTCTTTTAGTGGGGGTGGGTGCAGCAATAGAGAGGGCATAGGAAGGGACAGGGAAATTATTGGGATTGGGGTGCATGATGTGAAATTCACAAAGAATTTACAAAAAGTTTTAAAAAGTTAAGCAAGTCATGGTCACCAAGCAAGTAAGCAGCACTCCTCCATGGCCTCTGCATCAGCTCCTGCCTCCAGGTTTCAGTATTGAGTTTCTGTTCCTCTGTGATTGATTATAAGCCGTAAGATAAAAATAAACCCCTTCTTCCCCAGGGTGCTTTTAACCATGGTGTTTCTTATGGTTTATATAGGGAATGGCTCTATTAGAAGGTGTAGCCCTGTTGAAGCAGCTGTGTCACTGTAGGTGTGGACTTTAAGACCTCATCCTAGCTGCCTGGAAGCCAGTATTCTGCTAGCAGCCTTCAGATGAAGATGTAGAACTCTCAGCTCCTCTTGTACCATGCCTTCCTGGATGCTGCCATGTTCCTGCCTTGATGATAATTGACTGAACCTCTGAACCTGTAAGCCATCCCCAATTAAATGTTGTCCTTTGTAAGAGCTGTCTTAGTCATGGTGCCTGTTCACAGCAATGAAAGCCTAACTAAGACAGTGTTTATCACAGCAACCTGCCCAGTCTTCTGTGCTCTTTCCACACCTTACACAATGTTCCTTGAGCCTGGGATGCAGGAGTTGTGTGGTGAGTGTATCAGTTAGGGCTAGGCATCCCACAGAAAGGTTTTCTCTGCATTTTGACTAGTGACTTTCTGTAATGGTCACCTGCTGCCAAAAGAAGCTTAGAGATGCCAGTTTTGAGATATGAAAGATCGAAGCGGGCTGTCACTGGTGCCCCCAGGGAATGTTGGGAGGAAGCACTGAGGATTCCTAGAAACCATGTGAGGCTAACAGAAGAAATATAGCAAGAGGAAGAAAAAAATAATTGTTACTATCTCTATATTAGAGGGAACTTATGTACCAGGAAAAGCTCACAGGTCCCAGAAACCTAAGACACAATTTCTGCTATAAGATAATAAAGACCCCAAACAGTTGTGGTCTTTGACCAGTGAAGGACTGAGAATGTGGTTCAAAGATTTCAGAGAAAAGAAGAGGGTGAGAATGGGGAGTGACTCAGTCAAGAACGTACTTCTCTTGCAAGCTTGAGAACCCGTGTTTGATTCCCAGAACCTGTATGAAAAGCTGGGAATAGTGGCATGCACTTGTTATCTCAGGGCAGGGGAGGAGGAGGTAAAAAAAAATCCTCAGGGGTGATGGGCCAGCCAGTCCAGCTGAATTAGTGAACTCAGGCTGATGGGAAGCACTATCTCTAGGGAGGTAGATAGCATCACTGCGGAAGACACCTGAGATCAGCCTCTACCCTCCACAAACACCCATGTACCTGCACACACACACAAGCATGCATGCACACATACACACACACACACACATGTACACACATATGCACATGCATCCACATGCATAAGAAAACGAGACAGGGAATGAGGTGCCATGGGGATAGAGCAAATCTGGTTGGAAAAACACTTTTACCAAAAAAAACAAAATTCATCTCTGATGTTACAGCAGCACCGTCTTCCAAGACAAAACAGATTCCAGGACTAAGCATGTATGAGGCAACAGAAAAGTTTATTATAACAGCAATATGCAAATTAGCTGGGCGGGGCAGAAGCGGCATGATGATGTATGGTGGTTCAGGGTACGGTTGCAGTAACTAGTTCATTTCTCAAGGAGAGAGTTGACTTCTGCTCAAACTGGTTAAAAGGTTGGTGAGAGCTTCTAAGATGTCCAAAGGATGAGCATCATGTGTAGAAACTGCACATGAAGATTACTATGGAGAATCCAGAGAAGTGGTGGATCCATCTTACAGTCATTTTCTGTGACCTCCTAGGTGGCTTTCACTGAGGAAGAACACAAGGTAGCAAGCAGAAATACGGTCTGCTTTGGAGTTTCACAAATTGAAGATTGGTCACTTTCTTGATAAGCCAATTGAACAACTGCCAATGGTAAACTTTACTTCATTCCTTTGTCCTGGAAGACAGAAACTAGAGCATTTAGGCATTGAGCTCTGTAAGGCAAGGTTATCAAGGGAGATACAGAAAATAGAGATAAGGTCTAGTCTTACAGGCTAAGTCTAGTCTTCCATAAACCGGTTGTAGAAAAAGGAAGCAATCTCCCATACTTTCATGATTAACTCAATTATCATACTTGTGTTCTCAACTTCCCTCCTAGCATTTCGTTGTCTCTCTGTAAAGTTAACCTCCTTCTCTTTGAACTCCTTCTCCATGCGTGCCTTTCTCCTCTCCCTCTCCAGTTCATCTTTCAGATTTCTAATCTCTTCTTTGTACTCCCGTTTTATCCGTGCTTTCTCTCTCTCCAGTTCCTCTCTGTATAATTTTTGCATCTTCAACGTCTCTTTCTGAATCACACCCTCAGCACTCTCATACATCCTGTTAGTAAAGCATCTTCCACCATTTTCCCTCACCATACTCTGGACCAAGGTCAACAGCTGTGTCTTCTGTGCTTCCTGTTCAGCTCCTGAGGCTTTGTTGTTGAACAAACAGTAGCGATTCTGGAACTGAGAGATCACTTCTTGAAGGACTTCAGGAGCCGACTCTAAGTATTCATGGAAATTGATGTCTTCCAAGTCATCCTTCCTGGTGAGCAAGAGAATCATGAATCTTCTAGCCTTTGTTCCAAACATTTTCAGAAGTTCCTGTGTGGCCTTGTGTTCTTCCACAGTATAACGCCCCAGTGGGACCACAAGGAGCAGAGCATGAGGCCCTGGAGAGGTCAGGGCAACATAGCGAGTGATCTCCTTTTGTGTTTCAGCATCTGGTACCTCAGTGTCAAAAATACCAGGTGTATCCATGACAACGAGCTCTTTCCCGTTCCAGGAGCTCACCCCTTTCTCACAGACCTTGGTAATGGATTTTGCACAAATGCCAGAACGAAACACTTTTTCCCCAAGGATGCTGTTCCCTGTTGAACTCTTTCCTGATCCAGTTTTTCCAACTAAGACAATTCTCAGTTGGGGACTTCCTTGATTTTGGCTTCCAAGCTCTACAACATCAAGGAAACAAAACCAAATGTTATGCTCAGCCCCTGACGGTTAAGTGAATAAACTCACACAATCCTATACCCACTCTCTGGCTGCTTCTGACCTCTCCTCATGTTGTCGCCTCTGCCCTGCCAGGGACTACACACAACCTGTCGATCTAAATGCCCATCTCAAAGGGCCTTTGATTTCTCGTATTCACTGCCCCTTTTTATATTCTTTTTGAGTTCCTCATTTCGACCCCTTGTGGTTTCCAAGCACCCAGCAGAGGAAATAAGAGTTTCAGAAGAGACCAGTGAACCACTTCTGGTAGCTGCCTCACTTACAGAATCCAGATTGGAACACCAAGTGTGAGTTTGGGGCATCTGCAGAGAAAGACATATTTTTTTTCCTGATTTATATTTTAAAATGCCATTTTCTTTCAACCAGGAGCTAGGTAGGGGAGGATGTAAAAGCTTTAAGATAGTTTCCCATGTTTGGAAACCAGAATCCCAGGATGAAAGAACTAATATGTCCGAGAGCACTGTCTAAGATGATCTAGTAAATGATACAGGGCCAGTTCACATCAGGATTCACTTAATACAGTAGAGTCCCCCATCGGAAAGATTCTTGTGTGCATTGGTCTCTTGATTATAGGAAGGAAGAATGGGAGAAGGCATCAATGGTAGCGACTATGCCATAATTAGCCAGCATTGATACCACATGGTGATTGCTAGACTAGAAGCCCTGCTCATCCCCTGCACAAGCTAGGAAATCCCCGTCTGCCCTCCTCCCCCCAACCCCACTCACATAGAGAAAACTCCCCTGTCTGTTCAGATGCTTGGAGAAAACTCCAAGCTAACATGTCGTCACTCCCCGTCTCTGATTGGAACGAAGGCAATGGGAGCAGGAAGCCAGACAAGGGACCAATGACCCACCACATTGCTTTCTCTCAATCCTCCTTCAGGAAAGGACAGAGATGTGACCAGAAAGGCCACAATCAAGAGAGGCCACCAGCAGCATTTCTGCCTGTAGGAAAGAGGAAGTAAGAAGCTGTGCTGAAGGCATGCATGGTGGCTCATGCTGCACTGGAGAGACAGGAGCAGGCTCCAAGCTGACCAGGGCCACAGTGTGTGTGTGAGCCCATGTCAACACAAACAAAAGAGTGAAAAGAAGGAAAGGAAGGGAAGGGAGGGCTATGCCAAGCTCTGGACCAGTGAGAGACCAGCTGGGTTTCTTCTGCTCGGCCTCATGGACATATCCTAAGACAGGGTAGAGAGAGTCAAGCAGAGAGGGAGAACAGAGAAATGAAGAAAAATCTAAGGGTGGTGTAATGGATTTCTCCAGTTCACTGAGGACTGATGATCAAGGCAGGAAGGACTGCACCCCTCCCACTTCTTCTGCAGTTTGCCTCCCCTCTGCCCCACACCCAGCTCCTCTCACCATGGCTGCTCCTTGAACTTTCTGGGATGGACCCCACACCACTGAACTGGAAGTCCATTGTAGCTCAGCTCCCTGCAGATAAAGAAACAGTCATGGCGAGTTATGAAAAACACTCGGAACCCCGCTTCCTGTAACTAGCACTAAACTTTTTGCCATCAACTCTGTACTTTGGTTTTTCCTGCCCCATCCCTAAAAGCTTACCTCAGTATTCCATTGTTCAGGCTATTCTTTTTCTTACACAAACTTAAATCCTACCAACACCTCCTTGTGCTGGTCCCATTTCCCTCCATCTCTCCAACTAGTGAAAGAGTACTGCAGTGTCCAAACTTCTGGCTCAGCTTCTCATCGTGGCTTTCATGGGCATCTCTAACAAAGGCTGACCAGAATGGAGCCCTTGACCCCACCCCTTTCCTAGGCCTGACTCCTTGTCTCAGTGGCATCACCACACAACCAGTGGCTTTTGCTAGGCTGTGAGCTCCACTCTAGCCTTGGTTTCCTGCCTTGCATGAGCCCATCACCAAATCTTAATGACTACATTCAGAAATCTCATTTGTCCCTTCGTTTCTACCTTCGGGTTGATCAGACCCACTGTTGTTCATTGTCAATGTAGCTGGCTGGGACCGGATCATCCATTCTTGGATCACTTTGTAACTCCACCACCAGATCTCACTTTCAAAATCCAATTTCATTTTACTTTTCTTGCTTGAATTCCCTAGCAGCTTTTGATTCTCTTCAGAGCATAGTTTGACTATTAGAATAGTCCAGAAGTCCCTTCATGAACATTATTCCCTGAAGGCACTGACTCTCCCCATGTTCCCAGGATCCTAGAAACCACTTTTTATCACCTATGCTTTTTCAGAATTTCCCCTTTCCGGGGCCACTGCTCCAACCCATCACCCAGCTGGTGCTGCTCAGCCTCTGCTTCCTGAGAAGCCCTCTCCAACGTCTCTCTCCTGCATCAGCACCAACCTGAAACTCCAGCTTTTGAGGTCACTTGCTTTTGCTATAACTACACAGCAGCATTTCCTCATCAAAGACCTGGCTGTAACATGAAATTATTTTCTAGTATATGATTGTTTCCTCTTAGACTATGTGACAGGAGACTTTCCAGGAATAGACATAGCAGTGAACAAAGGGTGGCTCTCAACTTACTAAACAAGCAAATTGATTTTCTTGGGTCTTTACCTCTCTCTGCTTGGTGGTAGCCTGTGCACACAGCACTCCTTCCTTGTTAACCAAGACACAGTCATGTAGAAACACTCAGATCATTCTAAATGCTTCCTCTACCTAGTACACATGAACTATTCAAAAACTCTGGAGCCAACTATGACCAGGACAGGTTGGAAGGCTCCTTCTTAGGGACAGAGTCCCCACACAGGGAGCCATCAGTTACAAATGTAAAGCAGAACACCAGATGCTTCTTTTGAAAGAGGCTCATTTCTTTATGCCTGAAGGCCATGTGGGTAGAAGATAGCTTCTCATAAACTAAAAAAGAAACCACACACTTACATAAAGCATTGGCTCTTAGCACAGAGTTGATTTGGTGATTAGCAAGGAGACTCAGTATCAATGGTTGAAAATTTCTCAATACTTTCTCAGGTTGGGGGAAACAGAAGGCACAGGGTGACAGAGGGGCTCTTTAGACACTAATTCATCTGTAAAACCAGGACCTGTGTTTCTGTAGGTGCTGGTTTCATTGACTAAGTCGTCCTGCACTGCCTATGACCAAACATGTACTACTGGCTTTAGAACTGTAGCCATAGTAAATGTAACCTCCGTACTTAGACCTACCTGGAGGAAGCTCAAATTTTCTAAGAACTCAGGAAAGAATGGTTTCTCTAAGAGGGAGCTTCACTAGGAAGCAGCTTAAATGAAGAAGATGACAGACAGTGCTGATCCTGACACTATGCCAGCTTGTTAGAGCTGTGCCAAGCTGTGCCAAGCTGGGCCAAGCTGGGCCTGTTAGGGATCCCCCATCCCTACCTTCTCCCTGCCTGCTCCCTCCAAGCTAATTCATTCGTTCTCTTCCTGGAAGGGTCAAGATAAAAAATCTTTTTGACCAGTGAAGGAATACTTTCTCTGTAGAGAAAGTGTCCTCAAAACAGTGAACCCTGAAGCACATAAATTTGTAGAGCTCAGCCTTCAACTAGGATTACCGCCTAAAATCATCTGGCTGGAAACAGAAACTAATGAGTACAATTCCCAAGAGCAGGTATGTCAGGAGATTTACTAGACACAGCCAACAGAGAGGCCCCATCCTCACCAAATTCAACACCCACACCATCCATCCCTACCCTCGTACCTGAAAATCTGAGTCCTGTGGCCTTCTCTGATTTTGCAGCAATGCTAGAAACCAGAAAACAGAGCAGCAGAGAGGAAGCGAGGGGGAGGAACTGTGGAAATAGGAGTGTGCAGAGGACCCACCCATCTTCCTAGCTAGCTGCACTGCCGAACTTTCTGCAGTCCTCTTTTTCTGTGCCATCTCATGTGGTACCCATGGGCTGCTGGTAGCTACGGAGCACTTGGAATGTGATACATCAATAGTCGCTCTTTTCACCACCAGGACTTTAGTTGACTGCAATGTGGTCCATCTTAGTAAATAACGGGCAGTCGGCTCTTGTTTAGCAGAACATTCTGTAAATATGAATGACAATGACTTGGTCGGTAGTGACATTGAATCTCCTGTGTGCTTACTTATTTAAGAAATGTGAGAAAGAATAATTGAGTAAGAGAGAGACAGAGAGAACTCCTTGTTAATAGTATATAATAGAATCTACTTTTGCTTTGGATATTTAGGTATTTTATACTTCATGCAATTCATGACCCAGTTGGATTTAAATGGGACATCTATATCATACCTCCTCCCCTCAGGGCTCAGGGCTCATTACAGAAGAGGGGTGGGAAGATTGGAGGCAGTGAACATCTGCAGTGAAACACTATTTGCTGGATATGACAAGGCCATTTCACACACAATTTTGCCCAGACCAAAATCCCAGTGCCAGTGGGGAAGGGCCCATGAACTCTTGCCCCTATCTAAGGTGCTGTGTTGATTGCTGTATTGTATTGTATTGATTGCTGCTAGTGTGTGTGTGTGTGTGTGTGTGTGTGTGTGTGTGTGTATTTGCTTCGGGCTCCATGCATACCTCTTCAACTTGGGACAGGCTTCTTTCAAATTCTACTCAATCTCTACACACACACACACACACACACACACACACACACACACATCAGAAGAACCTCATCACACTGCTTTCACGTACTTGACATCCATACAGTTTATAAGTCCCAAAGGACCACAGCTCTGATGAGTTACTCAGGCAGAGATCTGCAGGAAGAGCCTAGGTTTTGGATCCCTAACACAAATAAGGATAAGAGTGGTGGGGGGAAGTGAGTCAGATTAGCAGCCCTCCCATCGGGAAAATCTATTTATGAAGTGACTTCGATTCCCCAGGTTCATCTGTGAAATCTGGTAATTCGGCACAGAGTCACCAAGCAACCAGGCAGTTCTGAGAGAGGCCCCGACAAACCTCAGTTCTTCACCACAGGCCTTCTTCTAAGTCTCCTCTCTCACTTCCCCATGCACTGCCCTGTGCACGGAAGGGTCCCATAAATTTGTAACCTTCAGTAATTAGGATGCTGGGAGCACAGATGTCCAGATACAATCCCAATCCAGACAGGCATTTGTAACAGATTACACTGGTCAGCAATAACACCTTCCAGCCCTACAGTTTATTTTTCAACGATTTCTATTCTTTCTTCATGTTATCTCTCTGCTACATAAACTGACATTTTTCTTCAATTCATGAACTCCATTCTCAGACTTAAAGAAATTTCTGGTCCAACTCAATTGATTTTTTTGTGTGTGATTTTGTGTGTGTGTGTGTGTGTGTGTGTGTGTGTGTGTGAAGAGACCAGGGGATGATTTTTGATAACAATCCTCGAGAAATTGTGGGCTTGAAGCTGATGTCAGCCCATTTCCCAGAACCCTTCCCTATGAGAGTAAGACAGCTGCTGTTAAATGTGACCTGAGACACTTCCTCTTTGCATCCGCCACAGACATTTCCTGTGCTAGCCCCTTCACCTTTGTCTTACTCATCTCACGAGCTGTCATATTACAGGGCAGAACGGCTAAGATGGAGCAGCCATGCACACTGCCGTTAACATGAGATGGTACTCAGAACAGACTGTCAGAGGAGACTTAGAAAGGAAGATCTCCAGGAGTTTTCAGCTTGCTAAACTGTACTCAGAGTTCTCCCTGGAGGTCACTTTGGACTGGAATTGGTCCAAAGCAGAATTCTCCTCTCCTCTCACCTGGAGAGACTACTTCTGGCCACTTGCAGCTCAATCTTAAGCAAGTGTGATGCGTGTACACTGTTGCTGTCTTTAGAATTTATTGGTATCAGGCTCCGAACCCAGTGACATCACATCTAGGTGACAATCGCCACACATTCCCAGAATCCATTTGGCTCACCTCCCACTTTTACCTGCAAGAGGCTCTGTCACTATCCATATAAATAGGCAGACCCCCCTGACCTCTCTCTACCCCCTCTTCTTGCCATCACCTTTGCCCTTTTCTCCTGAATAAACCTCACATGGAACTGTTTGGCCTGGTGTGTTCTGTCATGAGCTACCTATTGAACAGCAGAATTATTGTAATGGAGTTTTAAAGTCTGAAACTAATAAAACACTTAGTAAATTCATTATAAAAATTATGAAAATTGCCCCGGAGAGATGAGCCTGCAGTCTGGAGCCCTAGCTGCTCTTCCAGAGGACCCAGACTGTATTTCCAGCACTCAGTGGGGGCTCACAACCATTTATAACTCCAATGCCAGGGGATCTGACATCCTCTTCCAGCCTCTGAGGCCTCCAGGCACATACAAACATGCAGGCAATACACCCATACATGTATTTAAAAAAATTATAAACAATCTGAAGGAAGCTCACAGCTTGGAAAGACCATCGATCCCATTGCTCCCCTAACTAAACAGATTCTGGAAATGGGGACAGTGATATGGGGAAGAATAGTCTCTAGTTGTGTGCCCATTTGTGAGGTACATAAAACCAGGCTTTAATGTGTAGCCTCAAACTCATGATCACATGAACAGCCATATTCTGTGAGATATAAGGCAAAACAAAAAGTCATAATTTAGGGGAAAGATTTGTAGAGAAGAGTGGAGGGAGTGGAAAGGAAGAAGAGAAGGAGGGAGAGAATGACCAGAGTATGTCATATGCATGGACTTGCCAACAAACAAAAGTTATTAATAAAAACAAAAATCAAATAATTTTTATTATTAGTTATTTTATTATTAGGTATAACAGTAGTTATTTAAAATACCATTGAGAATACAGGAATGACCATGAGTGGGTCTGTGTAAGTGTAAAAATATTCTGTGCATTTCGTTCTGCCGTGTTCTATTTCCATTTAATAACAGATCAGAGATGTCAAAGTCAAGATAAGCTGACTTTTGTAAAGTCATCTACAAGGCAACACTGTGGCCTAGCACCTGTTAAATACCACAGGCAGTCTCATGGTCCACACACCTACTAACGTGATCAGAAGGCTTTCAAGGGTACAAAAGTGAAAGCCTTAGTATTAATGGCATCCAACACAAGCCCAGAAAGGCTGGAGGTCAGTAGTGACCGAGACTGAAGCACAACAGGTGCTTCAAGTTCAGAAGCATCAGCTATGAAGAACTGGGCTTACTGCAGGATGAGCTTGGGGGTTAGTGGAAATGGTGGGCCCTATAGTTTCCTCCCTCCCCCATAATTCAGAGTACTGCATTTCATTTTCTCCTAGGAAGATGATTATAAGGTTCTTTTCCAAAGATTAGAGCATCTCACAAAAGCCTTGCACATCCCAGAACTTAGGATTCATTCCATATAGTCATCTGTGTCTGCTTGGCCACCTGTAGTGGAACTCGGAGACCTACTATAGAGCTTTGGGACTGCTTTCCTAATGACTTACTTGTTTTAAATTTAAATCAAGTAGATGTGTGTGTGTGTGTGTGTGTGTGTGTGTGTGTGTGTGTGTGCATGGTGTATGTGTGTGTGGTGTGGTATGCATGGGGTAGGGGGATATATAGGAGGATTATTCATGGTGTATGTGTGTGAGCATGATTGTATGGTTTGCCTGGTATGGTGTGTGTGTGCGTGCGTGCGTGCGTGCGTGCGTGCGTGCGTGCGTGCGTGTGTGCGTGCGTGTGTGTGTGACTGTGTGTGTCTGTGTGTGTGTGGTGTGTTGCCTAGACATGTCTATGTGGACTGTGAGTGCAAGTACCAGAGGAAGGCAAAGGTATTGAATCCCCTGGAGCTGGAGCAGGAGCTGGAGCAACAGGTGGT